AGGGTTGACCTCAGACCTACTGAGATACTATCCATTGCTGATTATGAAATGTGACATTTGTGTTAATGGATGGCAAATGGCTTTGCTTAAGGACATCTCGTAGAGCTTTAGATTGTTATACCTAGAAATTGTAGGCAGGGACCATGCTGGTCGTGATACTCCGCGCAGCCTGCGGTCTGATGTAGAGAGGGACAGGGTTCGCCTCTATTATGTGCTTCCTGAATCACCTGTCTCTGCCTGGTGTGCATTGTGGGTTTACACGGCTCCAGACAGCCAGACCACATGCTCCATTCGCTCACCACACAGGATACGGCTAAAACACACACACACACATAGTATGTGGCAGCAAAAGCAATGATAGCCACAAATATGAGAAGCAGCAGCAACAGAAATAAAGGGTTTGTCTCATAAATTTTATTTTCACTTCACTCAATTTTTTATTTTTACTTCACTCCAGTCTAGTTTTTCTTGCAGCAAAAAAAGTTTTTCGTGACTTTTCTCCACCCTCCCTCTGAACTTTTAAACTACACAGTCTTTTTTGTTGTTGTTGTTGTTGTTGTGCCTTTAAGGCTTCTTTGCATGTGAAATGAGGTTTAGTGTCTCCAGTGTAGTTTTTAACTGAACCATTACACATTACACTGTGACAGGATCACAGAACAATCTGCACTAAAAAGATGTTTGAAAGCTTTGTCCTCCAGTGTGATAAATAATAAAAAAGCAGACACATTTGTAAAGTAGCACAGTGAGAAGTTTTCAAAGACCAGATACGTTGTTTTGTATGGATGCATGCAACAGTTTATTGCTTGCAACACATTTTACATTCTGAACTAAACGTATATCTTTGCTGACAATTAAGATTTATTTAAACATTAATTACTCACAAGATTAATTTGTAGCATAAAGTAAAATGGTGAAACAAGAGAAATAATAAACAGCTGCAGCACCTAAAATATATACTTTTCCAAATGCATTCATATAATTTTTTTTTAAAATAATACTCTTATTCAACAAGGATGCATTTAACTGATTAAAAATGTATTTATAATACATTTACAATGTTACAAAATAATATATTTCAAATAAATGCTGTTTTTTTTTCTATGTATCATGGTTGCCACATAAAATATTAAGCAGCAGCAAATCAGTATATAATGATTTCTGAAAGATCATGTGACACTGAAGACTGGAGTAATGGCTGCTGAAAATTCAGCTTTGTCATCAAAGGAATAAATTACATTTTAAAATATATTCAAAGAGAAAACAGTTCTTAAAAAACAATTAAAATTCTTAATATATCTTAAAAATATGACATAAAATATGTTGTTCACAATATTTTATACAAAAAAAATTTTGATTTAAAAAAATGTGTTATATTTATATGACAGTATATTAATATTATATTTTCTTGGAAAAAAAAGGTTAAATAAAAAGCTTTGGATAAAATCTAATAAAATCTGGCGTCCAGTACAGACATGGCCTGAATCTGTTTTAGTAGTATCTGAACTTTAATATATAGCATCTGAAAAATATACAATTCTAGAAACCTGGACAGGCAAGGTCATAGTCGTGACAACAGTCCGATGTCGTCTTGCATGCCTGGTCGCAGTAACATTCCCCATAGGAGTGATCTTTCCTCCAGTCTTCAGTAATACATGACTGGTTTTGTCCAATGCAACACAGTCCCGTATCCTGACAACCTCCTTCGCTCTGGGACACCAGCGTTACCAGCAGAGCGATGTATAAAACCATCCATGAGTGTCTGGAGCTGCACGCTGACATGATAATGAGCAGCCAGAATATGTTGCTCCCCTCATCTGAAGACCTCATGCATGTAATTGACTTCTACATCTTGCTGCACCTCTGAGCTGGACTGTGACATTTACTGTCGTTTTAAATGACATGCTTCACTCAGTCTGAGATTTTGGTTTTACATTTTGTTTTTTGCATCATGGCACTTATAGTAAACCCAGAAATTAAAATTTGCTGAAAATTTACTCACCCACAGGCCATCCGAGATGTAGATGAGTTTGTTTCTTCTTCTGAACAGATTTGGAGAAATGTAACATCACTTGGTCACCAATGGATCCTCTGCAGTGAATGGGTGCCGTTAGAATGAGAGTTCAAACATCTGATAAAAACATCACAATAATACACAAGTAATCCACATGACTTTTAACAACAATTAACATCTTGTAAAGTGTAAAAAACTGCAAGGCTGTAACAAACAAATCCATTATTTAGGGGGGTTAATCCGTCAACTGTAGTCAAAATATCAGTCCATAATCCATAATAGCACTTCCTACAAATGCAGACATGGTTTTATGTTAATGCGGCGCGATGCAACGCAACGCGTAAAAAGACCCCACTGGATGCAACAAATGCATCGTTTATAATGGGTTTTAATGTTTTTGTCTCGTCGCTCCGGCCAGGACACGGCATCACAATATGGTAAGGGGCGTAACATTTCTGTCACACGCTTGAGGTATTCGGCCGATCACAACGCTCTGGATAGCTGGCCAATCAGAGCACACCTCGCTTTTCAGACCGATGAGCTTTGTGAAAATCGATGCGTTTCAGAAAGGCGGGGCATAGAGGAGAAACAATAATGTACAGTATGTGGAAAATAATGTGGTTTTTTTTACCTTAAACCGCATAAACACATTTCATTACACCAAATACACAAAATAATGTTATTTTTAGCAACATCATATGACCCCTTTAACGTAGTAAAACATATTCTGCTTATAAGTAAAAAATAAAATCAAAGTAAATAAAATTAAAGTAAAATCAAACGTTTCCCAAATAAAATACTGTACGTAGCTACAGTAGGCTTAAACGAAGTAAAAAATTACTGTCCACCGTTGCTTTTCGATGTGTCTACACTACCATATTTACATAAAAACTATATATAAAATACATAAAGACAAAATAAAGAATGGGGAATTATATTTCAATGCTTGTGCATTCTCTGGTAAAACGTTTTCGTTTCCCCAAACTTTTATAATGGAAATAACAGGTTATGACTTTTAAAAAAATGGCTTCACAATATCGGGGGAATGCAATTCATTTGCTAGAAAATGCAAAATCATTTAAATATATCTTTTCCTTGCGTCTCATTTGATTTGAGGCTCTGCACTGTCTTGAAGTCTCACAGAAAAAGTAGTTGAATTGGTTGCTCGAAGTATTTTCACCCAATCCTGAGGACGGAAGTAGCTAAACAGCCTCTGTGGGGAATAGCTTGGCTAGTCTAGAGACAGAGCAACCTGGTTGTCTCACTCACTCCCTTAAACAAGCACAAACCTCTACTTGGACACCATGATCTACTGGATTTACAGATGATGCTTCTGGACGTAGTGTAGGTCTACTTCATCCTGCGCTCTCGTCTGCGGATCGTGCTGAGACCATGTACGAAGCCCATAGATGGCGAGTTGGTGCTAATAACTTGCTCTGAAGGAGCTCCCTGATAAGGGGACAAAATGTGCAGGGCTGGGGGTCCTCCAGGACAAGTTTGAAAACCAGTGGTGTAGATGACTCTGAAAGTAAACTGCTACGCTCTCTTCTGGGTAAGAAGTTTGAAACAAAATAGCCTATCAGAAATGGTATCTTCAAAGTTCAAACAAATGATATAGGCTAGTCATTTTTGGAATGATTTTTACTTGTCCCAATGTGATTTTTAGAGTATTTTTGTAAGTTCACACAGGTGTCCAGATGTAGTTGCAGGGGTGTCCAATCCTGCTCCTGGAGGGCCACTGTCCTGCAGAGTTTAGCTGCTCCAGCCCCAATTAAACACATGTGAACCAGCTAATCAAGGTCGTACTAACTAGGCACCAACAAACAAGGTCTTACTAACACACCTCCAGGCAGGTGTGCTGAGGCAAGCTGGAGCTAAACTCTGCAGGATAGTGGCCCTTCAGGACCGAGTTTGGAAACCCCTGATGTAGTCCATCATATGTAAGGAATAGTTCACCATGAAAATGTGCTGAAAAGGTACTCACCCTCAGGCCATCCAACTTCCAAGATGTAGATGAGTTTGTTTCTTCATTACATCACTTGCTCACCAATGAAGATTTTGGTCATTTATTTTATATTTTATTTTACTTTTATTAGGGTTGTTGTGTAAAGTGTTTGTTTTTTATTGTACCAGGCTTGTTTTAATGTGTTGTGAAGCCAAAGATAAATTTCCACTTGTTGACAATAAAGGAAAGAAAGAAAGAAAGAAAGAAAGAAAGAAAGAAAGATACTATGGTTCTTTGCATTTGGGTGCATTCAACTGGCAGACATTTTTACCCAATACAGTTTGCAGTGCATCTGTGTTTGTTCCCAGAGAATCAAATCCATGCCATTGGCAGTGCTAGTATTTGATTTATCATTTGAATATTGAATTTACCTTTATATAACTTTATTTAATAAACTCATTACATCCTTGCTGATTAACATTAATAATGTGCTTAGTAAATATCGAACGCATCCTTGCTTAATAAAAGTATTAATTTATTTTAAAATAAAACCTTACTAATCCCAAACCTTTGAACTTTATATATTACATAGTTTAACTTTATATACAGGTACATCTAAAAAAATTAGAATATCATGAAAAAGGTCAATATTTTTTGTCACTCATTTCAGAAAGTGAAACCCATATATTATATAGATTCATTTCATGATATTCAAATTTTTTGAGATGTACCTGTATTACATAGTTTAGCTTTATATATTACATAGCATATTACAGAGTATAGCAAAAAATATAACAGTAATGCTTACGTTTATATAATTTTTAGTAAATATATTGCATTGTATTGTAAGTCACATTAATATCATTAATTGTAGGGTAAATCACTACACTGAAAGTGTACATTACAGTAAATAACCCTTTATAGTACTTGACTCTTGTTGTTTTTCTACTGCTGCAGGGAGGAGGCTGAACTGATCCTGCCTTCACTGGAGCCCTTGTACTGTGTACCGCAGGCCATGAACGCCATTCTCACAGACCAGCCGCTAGTGTGCATCCCCAGACTGACCGACCTGCCCCTGGCCAGAGCATAAGCATGAGCACAGCCCAACATCAACACGCTTGACTTCCACTCTTATTTGCATTCACATCGGCACCACAGTAAATAATTCTGCCTCATTTATGGCACCACATATTCATGTTGTTTTTAAAAGAGCAAACCTTAATGCCCTACTCATCAGTATTTCACATAAATGACATCTTTGTTGTCTTTGCAGCCTGTTTCCATGGGAATCCAGTGTGGTGACATATGTGACCAAACCAAACATACAAAACCAGTCTTAAGTCACTTGGGTATATTTTTAGTAATAGCCAAAAAAACATTGCATGGGTCAAAATTATCGATTTTTCTTTTATGCCAAAAATCATTAGGATATTAAGTAAAGATCATGTTCCATGAAGATATTTTGTAAATTTCTTTCTGTAAATATATCAAAACTTAATTTTTGATTAGTAATATGCATTGCTAAGAACTTCATTTGGACAACTTTAAAGGCAATTTTCTCAATATTTAGATTTTTTGCACCCTCAGATTACAGATTTT